GCATTGTAACCACTGCACCACCACGTTGTTTTAACATTTACAATGGTTAAAATGTTGTAGTAGTCCTGGAAAAACTTGAATAATTCTAAAGCCATTTTCAACCATAAAACATCACAGACTGACTTGGAGTTATTCATTCTTAGCCCACACTATTTCACAAGGATTGTTGCTACAGGGAAAATGGAACAGAACTGCTTACTTGGAATCCAGAAAGAAAGTGGGTGGGGCTATAAATCTAATAAATAATTTTATTCCCAAAATAGTAAAGTTCTAAATATAAGCAGTCCAGATTTCAAAATAATCTTCTGCATAATGAGATATCAGCAGTAAAAAGTTAATTGCATGATAGAAAAAGATGTTCAGTCATGTGGGGTGTGTGTGTGTGTGTGTGTGTGTGTGTGTTCTTCTGGACTACATTTCATGAATGCTTTGAATGGCCAGGACCCATGAAAGAATCTCAGACAATAATAACAAGTTTGCCATTTCACTAAGATATTTCTACAATTTGAATTAATAGGGCTAGGAATTTTGTCAGTCCAGACATCCCTGGGAGAGGTTGGAGACAATCTTTAGCTCGCTCAGCACCTGAGAGAATTTGACTGGAAGTCAGCCAGGTCTTCCGCAACTATCTCCCTTCACTTTAAAGCAATGAATACATTTAGGCCGCGTATTTCCCTTTATTCCTGTGGCCTTTCTACTACTACAAATGAAGAAATCTGGAGAAAGTCAAACGTGTGCATACTGTTTCGCTTTTTGAACAGATTTAATAAAAAACTTTTCTCGCATCCCATACGCGGACATTTCCTTTGTGTAAAGACAGAACAATCCTGCTGCTGTGACTTTTTCTCAAAAGAAGTAAGCATACTTCGCAGGGGAGACCGGAAGGGATTTTGCCCCCTCTTGATTCCCCCGCCGCGACAGAGCATCCTTACCTGTATTGCCTGATCGTGAGAGCTTCGCGAGGTTCCACGGGAAACCCAGGCAGGGAGAGGCACAGGTATCCCTCCAAGTCTTCCTGGCGAAATCGGTGCTGTTCCCGCACTTCAGTAGTGTTGGGTTCACTTGCCATTTTTGCGGAGATGAATTCGCTTTCAGACCAGCGGTTGATCTTTTCGCAGAGCAAAGGTTGCAGTAGGTGAAAGGTACGCTTTCTACGCCTGGAACGTAATACCATCCACTTTAGGAGGCGGGCAAAAAAAAGATCTCAGTACAGTGTAGCGAATGGCCTTCTACGCAGTTTACACCCTCCTCTTAGAAATCACACCGATTGTTTCGAAAGAATGGATTTCTTATAGCTGCGACCCTAATCATACTTTCGAGGATTCACCTGACTCTCTCCGAATGTGAATAGACTACAGTTCCCATCATCCTTGTTATATATTACTGGATGAGGGCAATGATAGCTCAACAGACGTGGAGCGCGTTACGAAACGCTACCCAGCAGTTCTGTTAAAAACTAAGAGAGAAAGTAGATTTATCCTGGATTGCACTTGCTTAGCCTTCTAAAAAGTGCCCTAAGTTGAAAGAATATGTTACTATTCCAGAAACCTTTTACCGGCGGAATTGTGTTTGCCGGAAGTGGGTTGCGGCGGGGATTGCTTTTGCTGTTACTCCAGGAAGCGTTGGGGACGGAGACGTGTCTCTATTGATGGGATAGACTGGTTTGAGCTGAGTTGAGTCGCTGGACGCCGGTGGAAACCTAGGCGGCTGTTTTTTTGGGTGAAGGGTGGGGTGGTATTTTGGTACTGCGGGGCCCGATCATGGCCACCTCGGCGAACCAGTTAGAACAGCTACGGCGCCGCATCCAAGAGCTTGAGGAAGAGCTCGTCCGGGAGAGGGGAGGCAGTCAGGGTACCCGAGCCCGGATCGCGGAGATGAGTCCCGAGGTGACGGACTCCAATCCATACAGGTGAGTGATGGCCGAGGAAAGGTCTGGGTGAAGGTCGACGTGCGAAGGGGAGAGGCCAATGGTGGGTCTGCCTTAGCTTCCCCTACCAGCTGGGCACAAAACCTCTTGTGGATGCAACCCAGTTCGATTTTTCCTTGGAATTTCAGAACTGGATTATTATTATTATTATTATTACTATAGCCACAGAAACACCGTTGTTCTTAATCATAGGACAGATGTTTGCAGGCAGAGAAGTGTTTTCACATTCATTCTTCGATGCAGCAATGCTAGGTGATGGGAATGACATGTCTCCGAGTCTGCTGTCTGACATCATGATGGGCCTTGGAACCAATACTCCCTGAATCATAGAATCATAAGGCTGGAAGGGACCTCGGAGATTTTCTAGTCCAACCCTCTGCTTAAGGCTGGAGCTTTATATCATCCCAGTCAAATTGTTGCCCAGCCTATTTCTGAAAACCTCCAGTGATGGACCACCCACAATACCAGGACACAAGCTATTCCATCGATTAATTGCTCTCACTGTCAGAATTTTTTTCCTGGACTTCTAGGTTGTATCCCTGTTGCTTCCTGTCCTGCCTTCTAGTTCCCTCGAGAGTAAGCTAATTCTCTCTTCTTTGTGACAGCCACACAAGTACTGGAAGACAGTTATGATGATCTTTCTCTTCAGTAGGCTTAGGCATACCTAGCTCCCTCAACCATTAATTATACAATTTAGCCTCCACATCTTGTATCATCTGTGTTGCTCTTCCTTGCACATTTTCCAGGATCTCTACTATTTTATTTTATTTTCTGGTATCATGGTGACCAGAACTGGATGCAATATTCCCAGTGCAATGTAAAGCAGTACTTTCGCTTCTCGTTGCCTTATCACAATTACTTTATTGATGCAGCTTAGGACTGCATTGGTTTTTTTGGCAGCTGTAGCACAATGCTGGTTCATACTTAAGTGGTGGTCTGGATCTCTTTCACAATTACTAGTGTTGAGCCAGGTACCACCTATTCTATACCGATGCATTTGATTTTTCCTGACTAAGGGAAAACCACCAAACTGCATTGTTTGATACGGCCCAATGCTCAACTCTGTCAAGATCCTTCTGGATCTTAGGACTATCTTCCAAAAGTATTGGCTGTTCCCTCCAGCTTGGTGTTGTCTGCAAATTTTATGAGTTCCCTTTCTATCCACTCTTCTAGATAATTTATGAAGAGTACTGAGCCCAAAACTGAACTTTGAAGTATCCCACTGCATACTTCCATTGTAGCTGTAGATGTAATTCCATTGAGGATTATCTGCTGTGGGCGATTGTTCAGCCAATTGCAAATCCATCTAGTGATCGTACTGTCTATCCCATATTGTTCTTATCGAGAAATAGGGTGCAGTATACTTTGTCAGATGTCTTGCTGTCTAAGTATACTATGTCCACAGCATTTTGCTGGTCCACTAGTTTAATTACTTTATAAAAAAGGCAATAAAGTTTGTCTGACATGACTTGTTTTTAATCAACCCATGCTTGCTAAGCAACATAACTTTTTTTATTTGGCATTACATAATGGAGATCACTGCCTCATATAAGCACATACAATGCTGAATGTTCAGAACAAGTGCATTTCATTTGCCAAAGCCCAAAGCAAGAAAGGAATCATGGAAATTATTGTAAATTGCCTGAACCTACTGAGTCATAGTAGAAGTGTGATTCCAACATGGCAATGAGCTTGGGCTTTTAGTCAAGCCACTGCCAGCAGAGATTCATCTGGGGAAAAAATTGCAAAATCTTAAGATGAACAGGACATATGGAACTCCATATTTGATATACTGTATCTGTCACTCCCTGCTATTTTACCCCAGTATGCCCCAGTCAACTATGCTCCCTTTTTCACTGCCAAATCCTGTTAGGTTATTGCTGAATCATGGAAAACATGTTTCTTCAAGTTAAAAATAGCATGAAATGGCAAAGGAAATTAATTGCTAGATATAATTTCCTTGTCAGCAGGTCAACTGTTGAAATTCATGATAGGATAATGGTTGTGTCTAGCTTCAGCATGGTAAATATTAATACAATTCTGTAATCTTTGGTGATCTTTAAAGAATTTCAATTCTGTTACACTAGTTACTTTTTAAACCCATTCAATAACATTTTAATTGGCTAGAATAACTTTTATAAAGGTAATAAAAGCCAGCAAATTAGAATAAATAGCCCAGAGAGCAAAAAAAGTAATTTACAGTATGTGCCAGCTTCTTTGAGTAGGGGATTCTGTAAATGGAATGCCACAACTAAGAAGGACAATAATTTGAAAGCTGTCATATTATCAAAATGTTATTGTGTACAACAGATTAATACAGGTAGTCCTTGATGTATGAGCATAATTGAGCCAACATTTCTGTTGCTAAGTTAAACATTTGTTAAGTGAATTTGTCTTATTTTATGACTTTCTTACCAAAATTGTTAAGCGAATCACTGCAGTTGTTAAGTTAATAACACAGTTGTTAAGTGAATCTAATTTACCCATTGAGTTTGCTTATGAGAAGGTTGCACAAAGTGATCACGTGACCCAGGACAGTGCAACCATCATAAATATGAGTCAGTTGCCAACCGTCTGAATTTTGATTACATGACCATGGGGATGCTGCAACGGTTGTAAGAGTGAAAAATGGTCATAAGATTTTTTTCAGTGCTGTTGAAACTTTGAACGGTCACTAAATGAACAGTTGTAAGTCGAGGACCACCTATATACAAAACAATAAACTATGAAAATGCTGTACCATCAAAACTATAGAAGGCAAAATGTAATTGTACAACAGTTAGAAATCTATTGGCGTGTTGAATATATTTACATATGCCCATATACAATAACTCAGATAATTATAATTTTTCAGAATGTCATGATTTAATTGATACCTCCATACAGATAGTAATTTCAACAGGATAGATCTGCAGATTATGCAGTCACCATTGAAAACAATTTGTTGAATAGAGATTTAAAATTGAAATCATTTATGAACTGGAATTTTGGAAAGCTGCTGTCCCCTGTAATGAATTTTAAAAAATCTTTTCTTAACAAACTTTTCTTTCTGTTTCTCTTTTCTCTACTATAGTCGCTTGATGGCACTGAAAAGAATGGGAATTGTAAAAGATTATGAGGTGGGCTAATGTTTTTTTGTAAATAATTTGTCTCAAAGTTTTAACTTGATGGGGCAAAGTATTTAAAAACTTTGGGCTTTTATTACAGAAAATTCGTTCATTTGCCGTGGCAATAGTGGGTGTTGGTGGAATTGGCAGTGTGACTGCTGAAATGCTGACAAGATGTGGCATTGGTAAGGTAATAGTCATTTCTTCATTATAATTACACTGTATTCTTAGTTCTGCATAAGAATATTGGTAGTCTATGGAGAAATGAATTGCCATTTGTTGAAAGTGTATTCATCATGTGCATTGTAAGGCATGAGTAACAGACATATGAATGATGACCCCCATGATGGATGCTATAATTAATTTCCTTAGCTTGTATTTTACAGAATGTGTGCCTTCTCACATTTACATTTTCAGTAATACTGCCATCCTACTCTTTTTCAAAAGAAATTATTTTTATTATTCAACTTAACACCGTATTATATTGAATATATTTTAAGAAGCTTACATTAAAAACAATGAGCTAGATAGTTTTTGAACAGCATCTCTGGCTTTCTGGAATTAATTTGAACTTGTTTTATCCTATCCTTCCAGTCTCCAGAGACTGGGTCAAGATATCTACCACATCTCTTGCCCATGCTGCTGTGAGATCTTTCAGGGTGTGTAATCATCGTATGATGATCATTTCACCCAGACCAATGACTGACCTTTCCTTGCAGTTTTATGCATATTATAAATAACATGCGGAAGAGGACCAAGCTTGTCAGCATCCTTCATTAGGATAGACGTGCCTTTGACGACAAACAAGAGAAGAACAACAGGAAAATAAGTACTCTTTACCCCAATCCTTGCAGGTGGTCAAGAAGAATACATGACAAAGGATCCTGAATTGTAAAAGAAAACCAGTTTGGTACACTGCTTAAAGCAGAGGTCCCCAACCTTTTGAGCACCAGGGACCACTTCCGTGGAGAGAGGTTTTTCTGCAGACCAGAGGGTGCATGCTTTTGTGTGTTGCTTGCATCCCATAGATGGGGCTTTGTTTGTGCGGACCAGTTGCTGGCATGCTGCGGCCCAGTACTGGTCCATGGACTGGGGGTTCGGGACCCCTGGCTTAAAGAGTTGTTCTAGGAACTAGGAAACTATGAGTTCTAGATCACCCTTAGGCATGAAAACCAGTTGGGTGACTTTCAGCAGTGACTCTCTTTCAGCTCAATCCTTGCAAAATACAAATACTTGCAAATAGAAATAGAAAAACTAATTAAGTATCAATAGGTATCAATAGGCACAATTCCAAGACATATGGAGCTCCATTTGAACACCATTAGCATTGACAAAATCACTCTCAGTCAAAAGACAGTTTTACTTGGAACCACTTACAACCTGCAACGATACCTTTTAACACCATCAAAAACATCAATCTATCCTAGGTCCTTGGGAAGGACTTGATAGGTGGACAAAAATGCAAAATCCAGTCTAAAACTGACTGTGCTACTAAGAAGTTTACCAGGAGCAGAACCATATTCCTCCCGTTTAGTTCTTTATTATCCACCAGAACAATCAATACTCTTTTTGTCCAATCAATACCAGAAGAGAGTAAGCAATAAATGGGACTTACCCATTGTAAGATATATACTCATAGAAATTTATAAAATGAATGGATATTTGAAAGAAATTACAGTCAAGTTCCATTTAAAAATTGCAAACTTAGAATACAAGTGGTTTAGAAAATTTGGTATTTATCAATTTAATATTCATTAATCACCTAGTCTAAAAGCATTCTTCTCGGACATTGATAATTGCTTAAGTATATTGTTTAAAGATTGCTTATCTATTGCAAATATTTGGAAATGTTTGCTGGATATAACACTTTCTTAGATCAAGAAAATTGTTTAATTTTGGAGTAGTTGAGAAAATTGTGGCATAGTTAATTCACTTCTGTGGATATAGAAGAGCTCCTTTCACAAGTGCCTTAACTTCTTATATTAACTAAATTTGCTTAGTCTTTATAATTATGTGCCTTTTGCCATTTCAGCTTGGGTTTCAATTACCTATGGCCTACTGCCTTATTTTAGTTTTTCAGTTGAACAAGGAGCTAGGAAGAAAAGAGACAGATTACCTGCATGGTAATAATTCTTAGACTAGAACAATTCTCCCTAATTCAAATTAGTTATATCTTCTTTAAAAAGGAGCTAATTTGTTATTACATAGCACATAAATTAGTATAAATAATTATTAGTAGAACCAGGATTTGGTCTTATTCATTTCTGAAGAGAAACCATATATGTATTATAATAACTTTTTCTTTTAGCTGCTCTTGTTTGATTATGATAAGGTGGAACTGGCAAATATGAATAGGCTCTTTTTTCAACCCCAACAAGCTGGACTGAGCAAAGTGAAAGCGGCAGAACACACTTTAAGGTATGTGATGGGGAAAGTGGGTTTACAAGTATTAACAAGGAGAGGTGTCTCTCCAACTTTTAAAAATATTGCCAGAAAGATAGAATATTACATTTGATGTGAAAGTCCTTTAAGAAATATTTATGTGAACATCATAAATGGCAGCTTTGTCTTTTTTTAAGGAATATTAATCCTGATGTCTCCTTTGAAGTACATAATTACAACATCACTACTGTGGACAACTTTCAACATTTTATGGATAGGATCAGGTAAAAATAGTTTTTAGAACCTTATTTACAGTATACATAATGGCACTGTTTTGACTTGGTTTTATTATTACTGTAGTAATGGTGGATTGGAAGAAGGAAAACCTGTGGATCTTCTACTAAGCTGTGTGGATAACTTTGAAGCTCGTATGGCAATTAACACTGTAAGTAAGTAATTAAGTATTCAGAACTCTTATTAATGAACCTTGATTGGTGTTTGCTTATTCTTATCCAATAAAAGTTGAGTGTCTGTTTTAGAAAATTGTGATAGCATGAAAAATCCAGAGCATCAAACGTGAATGCATTACAGTCTGGGATTGATTAAGTTTATTGTGTGGACTCCTTAGTCCTGGTTCCTGCCTGATGTTGTGCAGTTGTAAAGTGAAAATGAAAAATACAATGTTCTAATGGGAGAAGGGGACCTATTAAGAAAAAATAAATAAAAACACAATAAGGAAAAATTGAGAAAATCACACATAAATGCTAAGGCATATGATAAGATTAACAAGAGTATGCATATTATGGGGAAAATAGAAATAGCTTTTACCTCCTTTGTAATATCAGCTAGAGTCACTTAGGGAAGTAGTAACATTATTTATGGAGAATGAGGCAGTCTGTTGCTTCTAAGATCAGAGGTTGCCTGCATATAAAAATTGCAAAATATCAATACAGGAAAAGAGCTTTGAAGTTCTGTTTGTAATACCATAGAAACAGAATGCTGGGCTAAATATATCTTTGGTCTGATATCTAATTTGGTCTCTTCCTAGGCTCTTATTCCTATTTTTAGCAAATTAAATGTTATATCTTTTCCTAAAGGCTTGTAATGAGATTGGACAAATATGGATGGAATCTGGAGTAAGCGAAAATGCCGTTTCTGGTCATATCCAGCTGATCATACCTGGTGAATCAGCTTGTTTCGCAGTATGTAATTATCCAACTTCTTGTTCTTTTCTGCTATTAGAGAAATCCAATTCTTTCATTCATCCAGTTGATTACAATGTGTGTGTTAGAGCTGTGCAAAGGTTTCCAACCAGCTTCATGGTGGATTTGAGATCTCCAGGAATGTCCTCGCCTGCCATTTGCATCCACATACTGGTTCGCAATACCTTCCAGCTTGAAAAAAGGCATTTTTATTGGGAGTTGAATTGTAATATTAAATAGCTAATAACCTATTGCCACACTGACCATTTTTTCTGTCCCTTTGACAAGCAGTCTGAATCCATCTCATGCAGTATTTTTTGTTTTTGTCTTCAGATTTTACCAACTGCTTTTTTCAGATAACTTCTACAATATTTCCTAACCTGCAATAATTATACTTGGATTTGAGTATCGCCCAGGGCTAATCCATTACTGCTTAATCAATGCTTCAAATATCTTGTTTCCATAACATCATAAAATATATAAGACGTTCTGATTGGAATGGTTTATGGTGACCTGATGACAAAAATCACTTGATTGGAAGATTAATGATGACCTGATTTAAAAAAATCTATCCCAATGCTAGCATAGCTGTTGCAACACTTCATAAACAACATGAGCCTAATAGCAATGGATAAGTACCTGAAGATGTGCTAGGTTGCAACAGTCTGTTTTACTTTAGCTGTGTGACAATCTGTTTTAAGTAATTCCAAACCACCTTGGGCTTCAGAATTTGTCAAGATTTGGAGTTTAGCCCCAGATTAATGATTTAAATATCTTACTTCCATACTGTATACACATGATTATAAGCATCTTTTTCTTTTTGCTAGTGTGCACCTCCACTTGTTGTGGCTGCAAACATAGATGAGAAAACTCTGAAACGAGAGGGAGTTTGTGCAGCCAGTCTTCCCACCACTATGGGAGTAGTTGCTGGTCTTCTTGTGCAAAATGTCTTGAAGTAAGTGGCTAAATCTTTAAGTTGCCTTAATTTTAAAACCCTGATGAGAACATTCATGAGTTTTTCATGAATGGATCTTCTACAATAAAATCTTTTGACCAAGGTTCTTTGTTTTGATCTTTTAAATTCTCCTTACATTTTCTCCAGATATTTATTAAACTTTGGAATTGTGAGCTTTTATCTCGGCTACAATGCACTGCAGGATTTCTTTCCCACCATGACAATGAAACCAAATCCACACTGTAGTGACCGAAACTGCAGAATGCAGCAAGAACAGTATAAGGTAAAATACAAATTCCAAAAACAAATCCCTTACTTCTCCAGTGAGTTGTATTATTCATTTAGCACTTGTTAAATGAAAAAATGAATTCTTGTAGAGTGTTTTCTCCCACATAAGTTAATTTCAGGTAGTCCTTATTATCCAATGGATACTGATTTTGTACATCCATTGTTAATAAATTCGGATCAGATCTTGTTATCCTCCACAAAATGTTTCATATTTCTTTAGTTGGAGTTTGTGATTCTGTTTGAAGATATGTGAATTTTAATAATAATAACAACAACAACAACAACAACAACAATAATAACAATAACAATAACAATAACAATAATAATAATAATAATAATAATAATAATAATAATAATAATAATAATAATAATAATAATAATAATAAAGTTGGAAGGGACCTTGGAGGTGATCTAGTCCAACCCCCTACTCAGGTAGGAAACCCTATACCATTTCAGACAAATGTACTTGGGTATCCTTCAAGCTGACAACATCAAGCACACTGAAGTCAAGAAAAAGATTAGAGATGAATACATCAAGAGAATGAAGTAGATCTTAAAGTCCAAACTCAGTGGAGGAAATACCATGAAGGCAATCAACACCTGGGCAATTCCAGTCATTAGATACACAGCTGGAATAGTGGACTGGACTCAAGCAGAACTAAAAACAATGGATAGGAAGAGCAGGAAAATAATGACAATGAATCGTGCCCTTCATCCACGCAGTGACATTGACGGACTCTATCTACCAAGGCAAATAGGTGGACATGGAATGCTGCAAGTACATCAGATGGTTGAAGAAGAAGAAATGCCTTTGGAAGAATATCTGAAGGACAGTGATGAAGATGCACTGAAATTAGTATATCAGGAAGACTGGAGAGACCAAACTGGCCTACAAGAAAGACCAAATGAAGAACAGAATAGAGGCATGGGAAGACAAAGCACTACATGGCCAGTACATTAAAAAAAATAGCTGGGAAAGCAGATAATAACAAGACCTGGCAATGGCTAAGAGCAGGAAAGTTGAAAAAAGAGACCAAGGGACTAATTCTGGCTGCACAAGACCAAGCCTTAAGGACAAATGCATACAAAGACAGCAACAGACAGTAAGTGCCGCCTATGCAAAGAAGCTGAAGAAACAGTGGACCACATGGAAAGCTGTTGCAAGATCGCACAGACTGACTGTGGCAATGGCATGACAAAGTAGCAACAATGGTGCATTGGAAGATCTGCAAGAAATATCATTTGCCTGTAAGCAAGAACTGGTGGGATCATAAAATGGAGAAAGTCATAGAAAATGATAAAATTAAACGGCTCTGGGACTTCAGAATTCAAACAAACAAGTACCTGCAACATAACACCGCGGACTTAACAACTGTCGATAAGAAAGACAAAAATGTCTGGATAGTGGACGTGGCAGTGCCTGGAGACAGCAGAATAGACGAGAAAGAACTGGAGAAGATAACAAAATACAAAGACCTACAAATAGAAATAGAACGACTGTGGCAAAGGTAAGCAAGGGTAGTACCAATAGTAATAGGCACCTTGGGTACAATCCCAAAACAACTGGAGCACCACTTGAACACCATTGGCATTGACAAATTTGCCATTAGTCAATTGCAAAAGGCAGCTTTACTAGGAACTGCTTCCATCCTGCGACGATATCTGTAATACCATCAAACATCCAAATCTGCCTATCCCAGGTCCTTGGTAAGGACTCGATAGCTAGACAAAAATGCCAAATCCACTCTGAACATCTGGCTGACTGTGCGATGATCAATAATAATAATAAAGTTGGAAGGGACCTTGGAGGTCATCTAGTCCAACTCCCTGCTCAGGCAGGAAACCCTATACCATTTCAGACAAATGGCTGTCCAGTCTCTTCACCGCTTCTGGAGGCAGATTGTCCATGTGCAAAATGGTAAATGCATAAATATATTTTTTATATTTTGTTATTCTTAATTTTGTTGCCCACAGTTGTTAAATTAAACAGCATCCCCAAAGATAATAAGAACTACCCTTATTTAATTTTGTTTTTGTGTCATTAAAAAGCTTTTATTGTTAGTTTTGGTGTCTTTATATTTCCAGAAAAAGGAAGCAGTGAATCCAAAAGAAGAGTTAATAGACCAGGAAGAAGAAATAGTTCATGAAGACAATGACTGGGGTAAGCAGTATTTAAAAAAAAAAAAAAAAGACTCATGAAGATAATGCATGTTCCTATATCCGTTTGTGATGGTATCATTTTTTTCTTTGTCCCTGAGGATCCTCAGGCAATTCCCAAAAGGAAATCAACAAAGCTATTATTACAATTTGAGGATCTTACATCTTCCTACAGTACTGGGAACAATGGAGAATTTTTAGGGAAGAAAACTGTTCCTCCTGGACAGAATCAAACTGCTTTATCAATATTTTCAGAGGAAATTGCTGAATACCATTTATTTGAAAACAAGCCAAATTGTATAACAGATAATATGGAAGATTAAGAGAAGTTAGTTAGAAGTTAGAAGATTGCAGAGACCAACTGTAACTGTACCTTGAACTGCCCACCATAAGGCAGGCTGATTATTTCATGAAACTTTGTAAGAGAGCAAATTATAGTCTGCCAGCCTTTCTTTCTGAGCCATTAAAGGATACAAGTTTACTTTTTTCTACAAGAGAGAATGCAGAAAATAACTTGACATACTGTTAACAAGAAGAAAATTTAATGGCCATACTGTTCATAATGTGGACATTTTGGTGTTATTTAGTGCATCATACATAGCAGTACACTCAGTAAAACTTTCTAAATATTACTTATTTCTACTTAGGTTCTCTGGATAGGAAAGAGCACAAATAGTCAAGAAACCCATTATTTTTAAAGACTTTCTATGATCATGATTCTGTTAAATTACCCAATTTTTGTCTTTATGTTTTTTTGGTGGAATGTTCAGGTATAGAGTTAGTTTCGGAGATTTCAGAAGAAGAATTGAAAGATGATTCTAGTTCGGTTCCTGATCTTCCAGAAGGAATAATGTTGGCTTACACAATACCAAAAAAGGTAATAAAAATGGTTGGCATTCAAGTTCTTGAAATGTGGTTTTAGGATCTAATCCATCATATCTTATTTAGAATGGGTTTAACTGGCTTTTGCTAAACTGATTTAAAGTGTTTTTCTAACCGCGCTTTATTTCTCCAAGATGTATTATTTAAGTTGTCCATTACTGTGAAAACAGTTGCAGAAGTACAATCATTGGCTTGTACTAGCACATCTGCCAGATTTGGTTATCTCTACCCTGTGGAACAAATGTTTTGTTTCAGTGTGTAGTCCTTAATGGAACTGCATCTACATGAAAGAAAGCATGCAGTGAGGTACCCCAAGGCTCTGTCTTAGGCCCCATATTTTTCAATATCTTCCTAAAAGATTTAGATGAGGGGGACAGAAGGGGAACTCACCAATTGCAGACACCAAGCTGGTGGAAAAAATCAACACTCCAGAAGATGGGCTCAAAATACAGAAGAATCTTGACACTGGGCACTAAATTACAAAATGAAATTTAATGGTAAGAAAAGTATGGTTTTACACTTAGGCAAGAAAAACCAAATACACAAATATAGAATATGTGGTACTGTTCTCAGTAATAGTAACTGTAACAGGATTATGGAGACTTAGTGGGCAATCACTTAAATATGAGCCAACAGTTTGCTGTAGCCTTCAAAATAGCTAATGCAGTTATAGGCTGCATTAATAAAGGCATAGAATCAAGATCATGTGAAGTGTTATTACCATTTTATAATGCCTTGGTAAGATCACACTTGGAATACTGCATCCAGTTTTGGTCGTCACAATACGAAAAAAAATGTTGAAGTTCTAGAAAAGAGTTCAATTGAGCAATAAAAATGATTAGGGGACTGGAAGCTAAAACATGAAGAATGGTTGCAGGATTTGTATGAAAAGAGGGATGACTTGATAGCGTTAAAATATCTAAGGGTTTTGCCACAAAGAAGAGGTAAACTTATTTTCCAAAGCACCTAAAGGCAGAACAAAAAGCAATGGATGGAAACTAATCAAGTAGAGAACCAACCTAGAACTAAGGAGAAATTTTCTGACAGTTAGAAGAATTAGTCAGTGGAACAACTTGCCTTCAGAAGTTGCGAGTGCTCCATCACTCGGTGTCTTTAAGAAGAGATAGCCATTTTCCTGAAATGGTATAGTGTCTCCTCCTTGAGCAGGGGATTAGACTAGAAGACCGTCAAAATCTCTTATTCTTTGGGTGAATTGGATGTGAAGGAGTTATTTTTCTTTTCTATTATTAACAGGAAGAGAATGTTCCCGCTGGAGAAATGGTTGAAGAATCTGAAGAAAGTCTTGAAGAACTTATTGCTAAAATGAAGAATATATAATGTAAAGAATGTGTCAAAGACCTATTAAATTTCAGTGCTTTTTAGCTATTTAATGGTTTCTGGCTAAATTTGGCCTTTTGTATATTTATCAACCTATTTTGGTGATAGTATCATTAAATTCCCATAACTTGATACATTATTAGAAGCTATGAGGGTCCAATTTCCAGCAAGCATTAAAGCAACACAATAAATTTAATACTAAGAATGATAGTGGTATTTCTAATCAAATCAACCACAAAGGTATTTTCTAAATGGTAAAAGTTTACTTGTTAGGTGTAGTATAAGTAAAGTAAATATAAAGTAATTTGGCAAAAATTCTAAGGTCCTTTATAATGTTTAGAAAAAGATTTCACTATGCGTAGCTACGGTATATTTAATTTTTGAAATACTGTTCTAATTCACTCATAATGCTAAATCATGAATTAAGTGTAGAGTTCCTTCTCTGGATGTTTTGAGTTTGAATCTTACATATCTTGTACAATAAACATAACAGTTGAAAGCCAAAATGAGCAAAGTTGTGCAAGACTAGTTTTGTATTGCATACACATATTTTTATAAGTCTAAGCAAAATTTAAGCAGGAAGATTGCTCTTTTGCTATTTTACAATCAGCAAGAGCAATAAATCATGATCCAAGGTTAATTTTTCTGATTTGCTGTTATACAAATTCATACAGGATATATAATTTAAAGGGAATTCAATTGTATTAGTACAAAGTCAATAATCTATAGTCTGAAAGTCATTCATTAGGATTATATCTTCACTTTAAAACATAATTTTAGATTTTACATAATTTTAAAGAAAACAATAGTGTTTCTTTCATGTTATAGAAGAAGGGAAGGGGAATCTGTGTTTCACACTTTTCATGGGCTGGTAATGGCATAGTATCCTTAAAAACCATGGTTTAGCATTGTATGTTTATTTAAACTCACTTGTCTGTTACTCCATTTATATTTGTTGTCTTTTCCATTATTTTTTGGCTCATAACTAATTTCTGTATATTTGATAGAATTTTATATTTTGCATCCTAAATTAAAAGGTACATCTGCATAACTGGTCATGTTATTTAACAGTTGAAACAATGAATCTAAAGTAAAAATATTAGCAGTGTAGTTAAGCAAAAACATAATTAGGAAGAGATGGGACTTTTGCACAAACACACTGGCCATATAGTAAAAAAAAACTTCTTAAAAATCGTTATCTATGATTTAACTTAATGGGAAAATATTTCACAAACACTCAAAATTCTTGTCCGAACCAAGTCAAGAATGAAAAATAAACCCAAAGATAGACTTTACAAGCCAGAGAAAATGGATGGGAGCCTTTGGCGGAACAAAAACCTTAATTTAGTTTCAATAGTACTATTTACCTGTAGATTATCCTAGATATGTAACAAGTGTTGATACTGAAAACTTTAATACATTGGGGGTATGTTGAATAATGCATACAGATGAAAATAAGGTTAAAAGATTCAGGACAAAAAGTGTGAATTGAGTATTAGGTGGCAGCAGAGGATGCATATACAATTAGTCCTCAACTTATGATCATTCAGTTACAATTGCTGAACAAATTATTATGTCTAGTCCTTGGAGTTTCAGTTGTGCCAGATCAGGTGATCGTGATTTGGATGCTTGGCAACTGGCTCCCACTTAAATGACCTGTTACAGTAACCTGTAATCATGTGACTGCCATTTCCTTTTTTTTTCAAGAATTTTATTAAGATTATCATGATAGAAAATACAAATAAAAATAAAAACAAGGAAAATGGGAAAGAGAAAGAAAGGCAAAGGAGAGGTGTAAAGAATGAAAGGGCAAAAAGCATTCACTTTGAAGTTTTTTCAACATAATAAAATATAAAATAGAATTAGAGCCTCCAAATTTTTACTTTTATCAACTTAACAAGTACTAGCCACTAATATAACAACAAACTAGAGCGATTTTCAATTAGAAACAAAGATGGATAATTGTGTTAGCATTATCACTTTTTTCCATCTGTTTTTCTGTGGAGATTGACATATCTTTCTGGGCATGCAGATTTCTCACTACGACTAACATATACAATAACTAAGTTCCAAATCTGTTTTCCAACTCCTTAACTAGTAATCCTAAAAAGATAAAGTTTCAATTTTATGTTTGTTTTAAAAAATCTTCTACATGAATCTAGGCCCAATATTTTTTGCTTTATCAAGTCTATCAATGATTTAAAAAATACCTTTAGAATTATATTTCCAATATACATTTGAAACAACTTTAAACATCTTTGACAGTTTATCAGGTGTTAAATACCAATGATGCATTGTTTTATTAAAAAAATATTTCAAATTGTAATTCACTGTAAACTTTCAATTGTTCGTCCGCACATTTCCCCATTGCTGAAGCATTATACCCAAAATTCCTTGCCTGCTGAATCATGCATTCTTTCACATATTTTCAAAATTCAATTTCAACATTTAATAGATCTTAGCACCAACATGTTTATCATTAGCACATAATAAAATTTCAAATTCCTATTTTGCAAATTCAAACCCATATATTTTCCTGTCTAAATTAAGTATTTCCTTAAACTGTAAGTATGGGAGCCAATGCAAAAGACGTCCTTCAGATTCCAATTCTTTTGACTTGAATGAAAGACTTGGGTAATAGTCCACTGATCGCTCTCACCATCATTTCTTTTCTTGAAAAGGTTTTCTAAATGCCACCTAGAGGTTCTTTGAAAGAAAGCTTTGTTTTATATTTATTCCAAACTCTTAGAATGATTGTTGCCATCAGCATTTATTGTACCATGGTTAGGCATGCCATGGTTAGGCATGCTCATTCATCGTCTTCCAATTCTTATTTTTAAGATCACCCAGTTTTTCATCTAAAGCAAACAACAAGCATCAAAGTACAGTTTTAAATCTGGTAAACCCAAACCACCTCTTTCTTTAGCATCTTGCAACAATTTATAATTCTTTTTTTTTTCTTTTGCCACATAAAAACTTAAGAAATATCCTTTTGCCATTGTTTAAATAGAGCATTGGTAATCAGTATCAGCAGTTTTTGAAATAAAAACACATTTGTGGTAAAATATTCGTTTTAATTTCAGGTATTTGTATGTATATCCATTTCCTGTTTCTTGTAGATATTGGAATAAAAATTATGAAACATTTCAACAGATTCATTGTCTCTTAATACAGTGTCATCTTCTTGAATTTTGTTTATAATTTTCTTAATTTAATAAACCAGGTATTTTCTGGTTTATTTGCATACTCAAAATGTTTTTATTTGGTATAATTCAGTTTTGTCTCTGTTCCTGAATGGGGGGATAATTGCTGATGTAACAACTTACGGTAATTTGATGTAGAATTTTAGAGTCTATTAACATCTTCTGCAGTTCCATTTCTGTAATTTTAATTTCATCCTATATCCTTTGTATTTTTTGAAATTTCTTCTTCTCCAAACAGTTGAATTGAGTAAAGGAACCCCTCATAAGTTTCACTTGCATCCCAAACTATCATTAAGTCTGTTTCTTTATCCAGTTATCAATATATTCATTTATTTTTTTAACTCCTTAATAATCATATTCTGTAAAATACTTTCATTTAATCTTCAACTATAATTCAAAGTCTCATGGGATTGCCATTTCGGGCTTTCTGTGCTGGCTAACCCAGAAAATCAATGGGAAGCTACAGGGAAGGTCTCAAGTTGCTGGGGTAAGTTTCCCTCACCTATGAATTATCCCTTAGCCTCTCTATATCTGCAGTGCATTGGTCATTTGTGCACTTCTGCATACCCTTTCTCAGCCTCACGATGCCACCTCTACAACTGATGCACCTCTTACTCTTTGTCTGATCCTTGTTACATTTCCCTAGAACTTTACCAGGCCTCCCTTTCATCCTTCACTGCACTTTACTTCCACATATCACTGCATACCATTATGCTTTGCTTAATGCTCCTCTCACGGGACCTTGGGACCTTGGAGGTCATCAAGTCCAACCCCCTGCTCAGGCAGGTAACCCTATACCAGGGGTAGGCAACCTCGGCTCTTTTATGACTCATGGACTTCAACTCCCAGAATTGAAGTCCATGAGTCATAAAAAAGCCGAAGTTGCCTACCACTGCCCTATACTATTTCGGACAAATGCCTGTCCAGTCTCTTCTTAAAAACTTGCAGTGTCGGAGCATTCACCGCTTCTGGAGGCAGGTTGTTCCACTGGTTAATTGTTCTAACTGTCAGGAAGTTTCTCCTTAGTTCTAGGTTGCTTCTCTCCTTGATTAGTTTCCATCCGTTGTTTATTGTCCTGCCTTCAGGAGCTTTGGAAAATAGCTTGGCTCCCTCTTCTTTGTGGCAGCCCGAGATATTGGAACACTGCTATCATGTCCCCCCACTAGGCCAGAAGACTGGAAAAGATAAATCAGTATATGTACTGTAGTCCTTGGCTTATGACCACAATTGAGCCCAAAATTACTGTTGTTAAGTGAGACATTTGTTAAATGAATTTTGCCCCATTTTATGATCTTTCTTGCCTCAGTTATTAAGTGAATCACTGCAGTTGATAAATTAAACACCCAGTTAAGTGACTCTGGCTTCCCCACTGACAAAGATTGCAAAAAAACATCACCTGATGTTGGGACCCAGCAAATAGGAACCAGTTGCCAAGCATCTGAATTTTGATCATGACTATAGGAATGCTAGAAAGATTGTAACTGTGAAAAATGGTCATAAGTCACTTTTTTCATTATAACTTTAATGATCACTAAATGAACTGTTGTAAGTTGAGGACTACCTGTACTGCAACACTACAAAAACTTACATATTTCATATGCAAGTAAGATTATGTTTTAAGATTTTGCTTCAAAAATACATGAGTCCTGCCAGAGATGTAAAACTGTTTTTGACGGAACAGAGGCACTCAGAACATTGAAAACATCTGATGGATAATGGAAAAGGCATAGGAATTCCCAGAAGACATTTATTTTTGAATTATTGATTGTGCTAAGGCTTTTGTGATAAATCATTATATGTATAAAAAGTAGACGTTGTTACCCTGCCCATTTAATTTATAGAATATAAATATATATGAGAATTGCTGGTAAAAATTCTTTGGCTCAGAAATCCAGATACAACATTTGTATCCATGAAATAAATTCTTTTGAAAGAAATATTGTGACAAATCTAGTCAAAATATCAAAGTACAGTGAATCATTCTACTATTAAGCTGTGGTCTTCCAGTCATAATGTATGGCTATGATAAGCTGACTATGAGAAAGGCTGACATGAAAATGTGATGGCTTTGTACTGTGCTGCAGGAGAAAATTGTTGAAGAGTACCTTGGACAACAAGAAAATAAAGAGTTTAATCTTGAAGTCAAGATAAAGTCTAGAATCTAGATAAACTGCATAAAGCAAAACAAGGTGGTTCACTAAAACACCAATAAATATTTAATATTTGATACAAAAACAATACTGTGGAGAAGGCCCACAGAAAAAAGATAGCTATACAATATTACTGACTGTAAACATGAATTTATAACAAATAAAGCAATCACTGGCAGACAATCCTGACAGCTATTATTTATTAGGTCACAAAGAGCCAGAAATGGCTGAATGACTAACAACAGTGATATGGATTTTTGAATTTAGATTTGATATTCATAAATAAGAGATTTTCTCACTCCAAGCTTTCAACAATCACCTTCTTTAAAGTAATGCGTTTAAATATAATATTTTAAATTATTGTTACTTTGGTAGCATTTATTTTTAAGTTTAGAAATTTGAGAAGCATGCCTAGAATCAGTTGAAATATTTGTATTGAATACTACTGTGGCCATAATTTTAAAACAATTTTAGTGTGATGTAATTTCATTCATGAAAAAGACCTTCCAAATGAATATCTCTAAAGCTGTTTATTGAAATGCATTTGTTGTACGACTTGCAGTTAATATATAAAAATGTATTTTGAACAGTAGTAGTTAAAAGACCTTGCTTTTAAACATTTAGCTTTTGAGCACAAGAAGCTAGTTTGCTGATTCAAATATATACTTCTAAAGGATATAATAGTTTATTATAAT